CTTCATGATTTGTTAGATCCGGAATGCTCGACGGCCATGGCTTTGGTGAGGAAAGAGATTCGGCAGCAATGAGGAAGGGAGGGTAATGGCTTTGGTGAGGAAGGGGTTCAACAGCAATAAAGGAGAGAAGATGATGAAGATCGACGACAGCCATGGCTTTGGTGAGGAAGGAGATTTGGCAGCAATGAGGAAGATAGGGTTTTAGTTTGTGGTGGAGAAGAGAAAAAGATGAGCTTTAGACTTTTTCGTAAAAAGTGCTGCAGGTTATTTTTAGTTAATAAAAATAAAAAGGGAAATAAATAAGAAAAACATAATTTTTGGAAAGAAAGTAGTTTTGAATTGGTTCCGATCCATTTCAGGTTCAAGAGATAAAACTTATATAATTGATAAGTGAGAACAAATGTGAATATAGTGTGAACATAAAAAGGTTTTTTTGGTTTTGCTTTAATATATCTTTAGATAGTTGTCCTTGACTCTTAACAACTAATCAAAAGAGAGTAGTTATTAGGTCACTTAGTGTCAGGATTTTTGATCTTGTATTTTATGACCCTATTATTCAATAAATTTGATTTCAAAAATCATGTCTTTATTTGTTAAATTATAATTTAATGTAGTTTATTTGGGATTCATCACATTCTAACCAAGAGTTGTGCCTAATAAATATTAAATTAATTAAACATTTTGTGGTGGATCAAGAGTAGTATTATGTTGCAACAATTGAAGGTACATCGTATTTCAGCACCTTGCGTGTGAGAGCTATTGGCATACATCAAGTGCAGCATGTAGAATGTTTGTAGGCAACAAGTGTGTATCTCAGCTTGAGGGGTTTCATTGATTATTTTGATCGAATGTTTGGCTGTTGTTGTAACTATAATTTTGATGATTATAAAACACTTAAGTTCTTAATTGGTTTATTTAAGTGTGTAATTTATAGATGAAAGATTGTTAAAATTGCATCTCTATTTATTATTATATCTTTGTTTCACCCTAATTTTTTTGTTTCTTCCATTATTTATATTAAAAATATTTTTAGTCAAATTACAAGTGGTACAACTTGTATTACTTCTGTAGACCTTTAAATTTATATTAAAATATTTTCAATTTATACTAAAAATTGAATGCAAATTTAACCAATATTCTGTAGACCTTTAAATTGCAGTAGTTAAGAAGTTTTTCCTGCCAAATTTAATTAAATGGACTACTGTCTTACTGATTGAGATATGCTTGTTTATCATAAAAATGGTAATAATATTATTACCATTATTATCATTGTAGTTAAGCTAATGCACGGCGTGATACGCGGCCCGATGAATGCGGACTACTACTTAGTCTTAGGTCCCACCTCTCAATATTCTTCGCTTCCGGCCTCTGCTTTTATTTTGTCATTTTCTCCACTTTTTAGTTTTTATACTCCGTAGAAAAAAATTCAACTTTTTGCCGATATTTGTAAATGAATTTTTGTATCTTA